CCTGGAATGGATGAGACTTTGTTTGAGGATGTTCGTGGATTCCCCTTGATCCCGTACATGGGACACGGAAATGGGCCCGCCCACCGCGGCGGAAAGATTGTGTCCGATGCTCTCATGCCAACTGAATACACCACTGGTCGCAACTGGGAGGCTGCTGACTTCAATCAATCTTATCCGGAGGATCTGAAGCAGAAGGTCTTGGACAACTGGACCAAGATGGGTTTTAGCAACTAACCATATTTGTCTTGATACTATTTCGAATTGATATGGCAGGTGCATAGATATAGAGCACATAGAGCATAGATTTATATACTTTTTCTTCTCAATCTTTATATCATCCCCGCTACTGCTCGTAAGCGATAGAGAGGTGATATAACATCAAATCATATTCAAGACCTCCGGATACGTATGACCCACTCATTTAGTGAGTGGGACTACTAGCTGTAAATCATTTCACACTAAGTAACCCCTGTGGGCTAGTGTGTCACTACTACTAGTAGTACTATCATCTTCCGCGTCGGCTATGTCTCCAAATATATATATTCGATCACCATCCTTTAAATGTCAGCGTGCAAAGGATCTTTCACCTCACAGTCTTGAGTTCGTGCGCAGTAGGCCATCCCCAGTCCGATAGTATGTTTTCCATCCACATTGCCATTCTAATTGAGTTTGTACTTCGAATTGGCTTTCTACCCATTGCTGACTCATCTCGGAGCCGAGGTGCCGATCAGATCCGCCACTTCGACGCTTTGCACGACCACCGCGACTATATCGACTAATACCCCGAGAAAGAAGCAATACAATTCCGCAAAAACCTTCCGGAAAATATGCACTCTTGAGGTGCCGACGCAGCAGTAGTAGAATTATGGGCACCCCGATAAATCGTGAAGAGATCGACCGCGTGCTGCGACAGAAACGCAATCAGCGCGAGGCTCGAGCGTGTTATCCTTGCCGCCAGCGCAAGGTGAAATGCGACAGCACTCAGCCCTGTCGAACATGCCGTCGACGGGGCCACCCCCAAATATGTGTGTATGATCAAGATTCCTCTGGGTCTAAAAAGTCCCGTAATACCAGCCAAAGACGTTCCTCAGCTGCTCCTCGCGGACCAAATCAGACATCAGTCGCTGAACAGGGACTCGATGCCGAGTCACAAAGTCTGCCCTCAGCACGCAGTTTACCAGAGGTTCAGACGGAGACAAGGCAGTACTATAATACTCGTATCCCATCTTCCGATGGTCCCGATAATGACATTGTCTACTCGGGCGACAACTCGGTATTATCTTATTTGCGTAATCGCACGCAAGATACCAATGGCTCCATGACCCGTGAGGTGGGCTCTGTTTTAGGTCTGCAAAATACTTACGGCAGCTATCCGTTTATGGACTTCCGAACGCCTCAGGACCGGTGGAGGGAACTTCTACGAATCATCCCACAGCGAACGGAACTCTTGAAGTAAGCACACCTTGTTGTTGATCACAGCAACCACTAACAGAGGGCAGGTTCTTCCATTTCTATAGAATATCAGCCTACCCTTTCAATCCTATCATACTTGACATTGAGAGATTTGAGCAGGATGTGTGTTCGTACCTCAATGCTCTTGCGGCAGGAGAGCTGCAGAACACTTCACAGATTTGTGAACGTTGGGCCACTGATCGGTCTGTCGGGATGATTAGCCTGCTACTCGCGGCCTTGGCGTCTGGTGCGCATTATTCTGACCTGGATTACATGCAAAGAACCGAGCTATACCAGGACTTCGGTACGTCACCCAGGATGATTGTCTATGCATGATGGACTAACAAGAAGAAGCCAAACGATCCTTTCAAGCTCTTCGACTAGCCAATTTTCTCTTCCGTCCGACGATGGACATCATACAAGCACTCTTAATTATAGGGAACACTTTACAAAACAATGGCCAGTCTGATGCAGCATGGGCTTTGCTAGGGACAACAGTCCGTCTTGCACAGACATTGGGTCTTCACACCGAAAAGAGTGTAGCACACCTACCGGACCATGTCAAATACAAAGCACGAAAGCTATGGTACATAAGCCATGCTACAGATAGCGACACAAACTGACGCGGTTACAGGTACACTGTTGTTTGGCAAGATTGCCTGCTCTGTTTATGTTACGACCGGCCTCGTGTAGTCTCCATGACTGGGTGGGCTCCAGATTATTCGATTCTCTCCAGCAACGAACTTTCTTTTACGGAAGCTATGTATTTTCTATGCCAAATCGCGTTGAACATGATCACAACAGATGGCCCCGAAATACCGGAAAATGCGCGACAGCTTGACATTTTGGCCACGATTGATAGCCTCAACCAACGCACTCAGCCACATTTGCGTGACCGCCAGGAATGCAAAAGCCTCCAACACAACCTGGAGCATCTGGCTCTGCGAATGCACATGTCTCTAGCCATTTCTGTCCTGACACGTCCAGCCCTGAAGCGCACTGTTGTGCAAGACGCGTCCTATGACATCTTGCGTACCCGCGCCAAATTGAGCCTGATCGACGCTTCTAGGGCCTTTTTGGATTTTCAGGCTCTTAGTGCGGTTCCCCTCCGAAGCTGGTCAATGGTGCACACAGTCCTTAGTTCCACTTTACTTCTCTGCATTTGGGAGGAGACCCGAAATGATCCCGAGTGCCGTGATTTACAGCAAAAGGTGATTGAGGTCTTCTCTGCCGCAGGTTCAGTGGGCACAGTGGAGAACACAACATCGGAGAACGGGCAATGGCTATCGGAACGGCATATACGGGCGTTAATCACTCTGCGCAATGCGGTTCGAACGGCAGTTGAACGTGAAAAGGGGGAAGCAAATGTTGGGACAGAACGCGCGGAACAGCCCCAGCCATTTTTTCCTGTCTATGGGTATGTGCGCCCACTATTGTCTGATTTGTGGAGCTGTGTGGTGGGTGCTGATTTTACAGTATGCCGAACGGGATCCCGGATGACTTCGGTCAAGACTTCTCACCGGCCAGTTATCTGGATTCCATAATGAATGGTATGCCGAGATTGCCGACTAAAATTGACCGAGCTAACCGTCGCAGTACCCATGTTTGACTTATCTAAAGAGCTGGGTTTTCTCTGAGCCATCCATGACGTTATGCCGCCCTCGGGAACGGCCCCTCGGTGGTTCGGGGATCTCGGACTCAATGGCAAAACCGAGATTGACCGTAAGGCAGGAAAGCGTCCGAAGAAATCGAACTCAGCAAAAAAAGCTTTCAACTAAAGGTTTACTGTAGCTACCTGGTTGCCACTGGGCTATATATATACTTGACAGCTCAACTTCCTGACAGCTACCATTGTAGTCCATCCATTCAGACAAATCACCCCACAACGGGAACATTCAATCTACACAATTGAGCCTACTACAACACTATATATCCCGCATCAACACATATGTTCAACTCACTTCTGTCCGGTACTACTACCCCAAACTCCGGTCGTGCATCTCCTCCCGCCAGCGAAATGCCCGTCGATAATGATCACGTGGCCGTTGCCCGTCCAGCGCCCCGTCGCCGCCGCATTGTAGTGGCTATGACGGGTGCTACTGGAGCTATGCTCGGCATCAAAGTCCTAATTGCCCTGCGCCGTCTCAACGTGGAGACACATCTGGTGATGAGCAAGTGGGCGGAGGCTACGATCAAATACGAGACCGACTACCATCCCTCAAACGTGAAAGCGCTGGCCGACCACGTACACAACATCAATGACATGGCTGCCCCAGTGTCCAGCGGCTCCTTCCGCGCAGACGGAATGATTGTGGTACCGTGCAGCATGAAAACATTGGCTGCTATCCACTCGGGCTTCTGCGACGATCTCATCTCAAGGACAGCCGATGTGATGCTCAAGGAGCGCAGGCGGTTGGTGCTAGTAGCGCGGGAGACGCCATTAAGCGAGATCCATCTGCGAAACATGTTAGAGGTCACACGAGCTGGGGCAGTTATCTTTCCCCCAGTGCCTGCGTTCTACATCAAGGCCGCAAGTATCGAGGACCTCATTGATCAGAGTGTTGGACGGATGTTGGATTTATTTGACCTCGACACCGGGGATTTTGAGCGTTGGAATGGATGGGAGAAATAAGATTTTCGTTGGGACTGAATTTTGGCGGGCTTGTCTTGTATAAGATTAAAGGGGCGTTGGCTGGATTTTGGTACTTGGGGATTTATTCTTAGCTTTGACTGTACATAGTTTGGGTGTGGTTTGATAGCCGACGATCGGCCGACCCACGAACCGGATTTGCATATGATTCCTCTTTCCTTCATTTTTGGTCGGAGTTCCAACCCGCTTTCCAACCCCAACACAACCACAAGCACGTTGTGTTTGCTACATTGAGTTCCTCAATATTGCTGAACCATGCAAGCCGCCCAACTGAGTTGTACCACCAGGCATGCGAATCGGAAGAATTCGACAAAGTAGGCGAAATGTCCGAGTTGGCGAACCAAAGCGCAGCGGTCGAGGCTCCTTTCCCCGCAGAGGCAGTCATTCTGCAGCCTTCGAACTGCGGGGGAAGCGGCATTTGATCAACTCAATCCTCATGAAGTGACCAACAGGATGCTAGCAATGCTGGCCTAATATATTCTCACTGATCTGCTGATACGGTCTCCCCCTTGTACCAGCCTCGGTTTGCGCATGGGAACGGGTTCGACCGTTCCTGGGCCACCCGGTTGGCGTGATATTCTCCGCCCACGCTGCCTTTCCTCCATGATAGAGAACCTTTCGGATCAGCGATCGTCAGGCCAGCTGGCTAGGGGCATAGGGGTTTTTGCTGTCTTGATGCCTAAAATGCAGGTCTCATAACTGGATCCACAGCCGAGGAGGCACATGGATATGTCGAAAATCCCTTGGGAGCTGGTTTTTCGGTTCTCGGACTATGCTCCAAGACATAGATGGATTTCTGGCACTTGAAACGAAGGTGGGAAAAATGGAACTGTATATAGGGTTCGTCACAGCCCGTATGGAGAGCCTGTGACCCATAGCGGTACAGATCATGGCCATCATGAAGGCCCTTCTTTGGCTCTCCCTTCCCCTCGCCGTTTGGGCCACTCCAGTCCAACGGGATGCAGCTCCTACTGTCACTATTGCGCATCCATCGGCCACCATCATTGGCAAATCTGGCGATGTTGAGAGCTTCAACAATATCCCCTTCGCGCAGGCCCCCACAGGCTCGCTGCGTCTGAAGCCTCCACAGCCTTTGGAGATCGCCCTCGGTACCGTTCAAGCAACCGGTGCCTCGCAGTCTTGTCCGCAGATGTACTTCACCACGGATGAGAGCGAATTCCCGACATCGGTCATTGGCCTCCTTGCGGATCTCCCTTTGGTACAGTCGGCTACCAATGCCCTCGAGGATTGTCTGAACATTGACATTCGGCGCCCAGCCGGGACCACCGCGGACGCGAAGCTGCCCGTTCTGGTCTGGATCTTTGGCGGAGGCTTTGAACTCGGTTCAAAAGCGATGTATGACGGTACAACGATGGTTTCATCGTCGATAGACAAGAACATGCCTATCGTGTTTGTAGCGATGAACTATCGCATAGGGGGCTTCGGGTTTTTGCCCGGAAAGGAGATTCTGGAGGACGGGTCCGCCAACTTAGGTCTACTTGACCAACGCCTCGCCCTGCAGTGGGTGGCCGACAACATCGAGGCCTTTGGTGGAGACCCGGACAAGGTGACAATCTGGGGAGAATCAGCAGGGGCTATTTCCGTCTTTGATCAGATGATATTGTACGACGGAAACATCACTTACAAAGACAAGCCCTTGTTCCGGGGAGCCATCATGGACTCCGGTAGTGTTGTTCCCGCAGACCCCGTCGACGGGGTCAAGGGACAGCAAGTGTATGATGCGGTCGTGGACTCTGCAGGCTGTTCCTCTGCCAACGACACCCTGGCTTGTCTGCGTGAGCTAGACTACACCGACTATCTCAATGCGGCAAACTCCGTGCCGGGAATCATAGGCTACCACTCCGTGGCGCTATCATATGTGCCTCGACCAGACGGGACGGCATTGACAGCGTCGCCAGACGTTTTGGGTAAAGCAGGGAAATATGCCCGGGTCCCATTCATCGTGGGCGACCAAGAGGATGAGGGCACTTTGTTCGCCTTGTTTCAGTCCAATATTACGACGATCGACGAGGTAGTCGACTATCTGGGCACCTACTTCTTCTATGACGCTAGCCAGGAGCAGCTTGAAGAATTAGTGGCCCTGTACCCGGACACCACCACATATGGGTCTCCCTTCAGGACGGGCACGGCCAACAACTGGTATCCGCAATTTAAGCGATTGGCCGCCATTCTCGGCGACTTGGTCTTCACCATTACGCGGCGGGCATTCCTCACGTATGCAGAGCAGCTCAGCCCTGACCTTCCGAATTGGTCGTACCTGGCGACCTACGACTATGGCACGCCAGTTCTGGGGACCTTCCATGGAAGTGACCTGCTGCAGGTGTTCTATGGGATCAAGCCCAATTATGCAGCAAGTTCCAGCCACACGTATTATCTGAGTTTCGTGTATACGCTGGATCCGAACTCCAATCGGGGGGAGTACATCGAATGGCCCCAGTGGAAGGAATCACGACAGTTGATGAATTTCGGAGCGAACAGCGCCAGTCTCCTTACGGATGATTTCCGCAACGGGACATATGAGTTCATCCTGCAGAATACCGCGGCGTTCCACATCTGATGCCATTGGCGGAGGGGTCCGGAGGGTCAGGGACCTAGCCTTATGAGAGTAATGATGGAAGTGTCTAGCCTCGGCAAAGGATATATAGGGTCATAATAAGTAGTACTAGTTATATTAATGGAAGGGTATATACCACGCGTTGGACGTTTGGACCTGCATTATAGCTTCCCGTTAGGTATAATCACCATTGTTATAGGAGCCAATCAAGCCACCACGCACGACCGGGGACGGCGAATCCCCGGGAATTGAAATAAATTGCTATTCAGGTCAGTGAGGCCAGCGATTGGACACATCTCCAAGGCACAAGGCCATTCTGCAGTGCCGGTGGATTCAGTGCAATTTCCCCCGGGCCGGCCCGACACCGCGATAGGCTGCTTCTTCCACGCCACCGGAGATTCGTCGTTCTGGGGCCTCGTCCGTTCACAAGCTGAAGAGCTGAAGTGGCGAGATGACTCTGCAGGAATTCCAAGCTAGATGCTAAGCGATATTGCATTGCAATTTATGTTGTGTGTTGATGCATGTGCTTCTTCCTTCAGCTTGACCCCCCTCGTGCAGATGTTGGTTTGGCTATAAATTGAAGTGGTCGGTCAGGGGTCCGTGAGGGGTTGAAGTAAGTAGCTTCCTTCCCCTCAGACGCGACAACTGAGTGACTGAGCTTCATCCTCAACATCGTTACTCCCCCCCTGCAATGTCGTTCCGATCTCTTCTTGCCCTGAGCGGCCTCGTCTGCTCGGGGTTGGCAAGTGTTATTTCTAAGCGCGCGACCTTGGATTCGTGGTTGAGCAACGAAGCGACCGTGGCTCGTACTGCGATCCTGAATAACATCGGGGCGGACGGTGCTTGGGTGTCGGGCGCGGACTCGGGCATTGTCGTTGCCAGTCCCAGCACCGATAACCCGGACTGTATGTTTTGAGCTCGGATTATGAGTGTGTTCTTGGTTGATTGATGCTGACTGGCGTGTCTTCTTATGATTGTAGACTTCTACACTTGGACTCGCGACTCGGGTCTCGTCATCAAGACCCTCGTCGATCTCTTCCGCAATGGAGATACTGATCTCCTTTCCACCATTGAGAACTACATCTCCTCTCAGGCAATTGTTCAGGGTATCAGTAACCCCTCTGGTGATCTGTCCAGCGGCGGTCTTGGTGAGCCCAAGTTCAATGTCGATGAGACTGCCTACACTGGGTCTTGGGGACGGCCGCAGCGTGATGGTCCTGCCCTGAGAGCAACTGCTATGATCGGCTTTGGGCAGTGGCTGCTTGTATGTTCTCCACCCCCTTGCGTCTGATCTGCAACATTGTAGCTGACTGGTCAGGACAATGGCTACACCAGCGCTGCAACGGAGATTGTTTGGCCCCTCGTTAGGAACGACCTGTCGTATGTGGCTCAGTACTGGAACCAGACGGGATATGGTGTGTTTGATTAATCGGTGTTCAAGGGTGTTTGTGCATCGGAGCTAACTCGCGGTCGCAGATCTCTGGGAAGAAGTTAATGGCTCGTCTTTCTTCACTATTGCTGTGCAGCACCGCGCCCTCGTCGAAGGTAGTGCCTTCGCGACGGCCGTCGGCTCGTCCTGCTCCTGGTGTGATTCGCAGGCACCTCAGATTCTCTGCTACCTGCAGTCCTTCTGGACCGGCGACTACATCCTGGCCAACTTTGATAGCAGCCGTTCCGGCAAGGACACCAACACCCTCCTGGGAAGCATCCACACCTTTGATCCTGAGGCTGGATGCGATGATTCCACCTTCCAGCCCTGCTCCCCGCGTGCGCTTGCCAACCACAAGGAGGTTGTAGACTCTTTCCGCTCGATTTATACTCTCAACGATGGTCTCAGTGACAGTGAGGCGGTTGCAGTCGGTCGGTACCCCGAGGATACGTACTACAACGGCAACCCGTGGTTCCTGTGCACCTTGGCTGCCGCGGAGCAGCTGTACGATGCTCTGTACCAGTGGGACAAGCAGGGGTCCTTGGAGATCACAGACGTGTCACTTGACTTCTTCCAGGCTCTGTACAGTGATGCTGCCACCGGCACGTACTCATCGTCCAGCTCGACCTATAGCAGCATTGTGGATGCCGTGAAGACTTTCGCTGATGGTTTCGTTTCTATTGTGGTAAGTCTACGCTAGACGAGGGCTCATATTTACAGAGGGTGCGTACTAACAGGATTAGGAAACTCACGCCGCAAGCAACGGCTCTCTTTCCGAGCAATACGACAAGTCTGATGGCGACGAGCTTTCTGCTCGCGACCTGACCTGGTCTTACGCTGCTCTGCTGACCGCCAACAACCGTCGTAACTCTGTTGTGCCCCCATCCTGGGGCGAGACCTCTGCCAGCAGCGTGCCCGGCACCTGTGCGGCTACCTCTGCCTCTGGTACCTACAGCAGTGTGACCGTCACCTCGTGGCCGAGCATTGTGGCTACTGGTGGCACCACTACGACGGCTACCACCACTGGATCCGGCGGCGTGACCTCGACCAGCAAGGCCACCACAACTGCTAGTAAGACCAGCACCACTACGTCCTCGACCTCCTGCACCACTCCCACCGCCGTAGCTGTGACCTTTGATCTGACGGCCACCACCACCTACGGCGAGAACATCTACCTGGTCGGGTCGATCTCTCAGCTCGGTGACTGGGACACCAGCGACGGCATAGCTCTGAGCGCTGACAAGTACACTTCCAGCAACCCGCTCTGGTATGTAACTGTGACTCTGCCGGCTGGTGAGTCGTTTGAGTACAAATTCATTCGCATTGAGAGCGATGACTCCGTGGAGTGGGAGAGTGACCCGAACCGGGAATACACGGTTCCTCAGGCGTGCGGAGAGTCGACCGCGACGGTGACTGACACCTGGCGGTAGACAATTCATTCCTATTGATATGAAGGATGAGCATGAAGGTAATTAGTTACATAATCATTTGTATGTAGTGGATATGCACAATAGCATAGCATGAAATGGAGGGCTAGTCATGTGATTGTATTGCGACCGACGGAATGGAGGATATGCGGAGATAAGGACTCAGCGAAAGCCGTTGTCTTCATATGAAGGACCAGACAGTCCCTAATTTACTCTTGCACAAAGCATTAGGCAATTGACATGACCCCCTTCTCTTTTCGCTCTACTGATATCACTGTCCCTCAAAGCATAGCCATGAGCTCATCTTAGATCCAAGCACGTAATTCCATAGCCGAGGTCCACAGTGGAGCAGCAGCAGCACCCATCATTGCTTTCCCCCAGGGGCCTCTCAACGACTAAACCTGGAGTACGTCTCAACCAGCCAATGAATCATCTTCGCTTCAATGTCCTTGACACTTCCCGAGTCCAAGAGGGTCCCCATCCATCAATGCCAATTCAAAATATAGCCGAGATGCGTGGTGGAGTCCAAAGTAGACAGTATTGCCGGAATGACGGGGCCAGTTGGACCGGAGGTCATTGGCCGGCTGTGATGCCATCTGCCACTAAATCCGATCATTGATCCCACCGCCCACGAGGCGCGTCTTTGCTTTTGCGCTGCGTCCAGGTTCACACACACCCTCTCTCGAGTCTCTGCAGCTCCAGTCCAGTGCTGACTGACTAACTAGTCTATTCTACCTACTGGTCTGATCGGCTCCATCAGAGCTATGGCGTTATCCCGTGCCGTTGCTGCGCCATCGCTATCTTGATCGCGAGCTCCAACTCATTTCTTGTTTTAATAGTTGTTCTTGGTGACCGAGTGTCGGTGAGTGACAGACAACAACATCGTGCAGGGGGTAAATTCATTCAGGATTTGGATTGTTGCTCCCGCCATGATGTTCTTGCCGGCTTTGTTGGCCCTTTTCGTGGGATGCGATGCCCTGGCCGTGCAGCAGCAGGTACTGCTGGATGATGAGCCGTCGGTCTCCGCGCGCAAGCCCAACTTTCTCTTCATTCTTACGGATGATCAGGACCTGCGGATGAATAGCCCGGCGTATATGCCGTATACGCAGGCGAGAATCAAGGACAAGGGTACTGAGTTCTTGAATCACTTTGTCACTACTGCGCTTTGCTGTCCGTCGCGCGTGAGTCTTTGGACGGGAAGACAGGCTCATAACACTAATGTGACGGATGTGAATCCGCCGTATGGTATGCACAACTTTCCAATCGGTCGTGATTCTTCGGTGCGGGATTGCTAATGCAGCATAGGCGGATACCCCAAATTCGTCGCCCAAGGCTTCAACGAAAACTTCCTTCCCGTTTGGCTTCAGTCCGCCGGTTACAATACCTTCTACACAGGGAAATTGTTCAACTCGCACAGTGTCGCTACCTACAACGCGCCGTTTGTGAACGGCTTCAATGGCTCCGATTTCCTCCTCGACCCCCATACCTATTCGTACTGGAATGCGACGTACCAGCGGAACCATGAGCCGCCGCGGAGCTACGAGGGACAATACACAACAGATGTGATGCGGGAGAAGGCATCGGGGTTGTTGGCAGATGCGCTGGACAGCGACGCGCCGTTCTTCCTGACGGTCGCGCCGATCGCGCCGCACACGAACATTGATGTGGAAGGACTGAGTGGTTCTGGGGGTCCGAAGATGACGGAGCCGCTGCCGGCACCGAGACATGCACATTTGTTTGCTGATGCGAAGGTGCCGCGGACGCCTAACTTCAATCCGGACAAGGTATGTGATATTGTGGTCCTATGGTGGGGATGGCCGCTGACGAGGATAGGACTCCGGTGCGGGGTGGATCCAAACTATGGAACTCCAGAACCAGACCGTCATCGACTACGAAGACCATCTTTATCGCCAGCGTCTGCGCGCCTTGCAAGCCGTTGATGAGATGGTGGATGCGCTGATCACGCAGCTGGAAGAAAGCGGGCAGATCGACAATACCTACATCATTTACAGTGCTGATAACGGCTACCACATTGGCCATCATCGTCTGCCTCCGGGCAAGACAACCGGCTATGAGGAGGACATTCGAGTCCCGTTCTACATTCGCGGCCCTGGCATCCCCGAAGGAAAGAGCGTTGACCGCGTAAC